GTGGACAGGATTGTCACACACAAAGAATTAGTTAACCTAAAAATTGTATGAAACCAAATAGTACTACATGCAAGGTCAGGCATTCAGGGACTAACGCTAAGAACAGTTGATGTAGAGCGGTGGCTCATAGACTGAAGACGTTGTAGTGATCAATTGTAAGGTGGATATGACTTGCCATGGTGGTGAGACCATTAAAAAGACCAATTCCATTCCAGGGTGCAATTCTTCTAGGTTGGGTATTTTTAGAGGTAGTGGAGATGGATGTGGCACTGGTAAGACATCATTTGTATACTGTGTACAGTCCTAATCACCTCTGTTAAAAAATATTAACAATGGTTGTGTTCAATATCTTCATTGATGATGTGGAAGATGGAATGGATGGCACCCTGAACAAGTTTGCAGATTACACCAAACTGGGAGGGGGTAGTAGATATACTAAGTAGGGTAGGGCAGGTTTCACAGAGACCTACACATATAGGAGAATTAGGCCAAAAGAAATCCCATGAGGTTCAACAAGGACAAGTACAAAATCCTGCACGTAGGAGAGAACAATCCCATGCACTGGTACAGGCTGGGGTTGACTGGCTGGGCAGCAGCTCTGCAGAAAAGGACTTTGCGGTGTCAGTGGACAATATAAGCCAACAGGGTGCCCTTATTGCCAAGAAGGCTACAGCATACTGGTCTGCATTAGTAAGAGTGTTCCCAGCTGATCAAGGGAAGTTATTCTTCTCCTCTATTTGGCACTGGTGAGGCCTGTGTCCAGTTTTGGGCCCTCCACTACAAAAAAGGATGTGGACACATTGGAGAGAGTCCAGCGGGGAGAAGGAAAATGGTTCAAGAGCTGGGGCACAGGACTGGTGAGGAGAGGCTGAGGTTACTGGGCTGATTTAATCTGCAGAAGAGAAGATCGAGGGGGACTGAATAGCAGCCTTCAAGTCCCTGCAGGGAGTTGCAAAGGGGATGGAGCTGGGCTGTTCTCAGTGGGGGCAGATGACAGGACCAGGAGCAATGGGTTCAAGCTGCAGCAAGGGAAGTTGAGGTTGGATAGTAAGAAAAGCTTTTTCACTAGGCAGCTGTTAAAGCACTGGGACAGGCTCCCCAGAGACGTGGTGGAGTCTCCATCCTTGGAGGTGTTTAAGACCCAGCACAACAAAGCCTTGGCTGGGATGATGTAGTTGGGGCTGGTCCTGCTTTGAGCAGGGGGGTTGGACTAGATGTGACCTCCTGAGCTCCCTTCACCCCTCATTTTCTATGATTCTAATATAAACTGGAACAGGTACAAAGAAGGGCATGACTGTGGGATATGGGCTCTCTCTAATGACCAAAACTTAAAAGAGCTAGGCTTGTTTAGCTTAACAAAACAGAGGTTGAGAGGGGTTAGCATTGTTCTTGGTAAGTACATGTTGCGGGGTAAATTTAAGGGAAGGAGAAGACTACTGATACAATTCAGACAGGAAACTAGAAAACGTCTAATGATCTGAGGAATTAAGTTCTCAAATAGCCTTCCAAAGAAAGAAGGTTGTGGGGGCAAGGGGCCTATAGCTCTTTAAGATGGACTGGGATACATTCATGGAAGGGATACATATCTTCTCGGAGTAGATTTTAAAGCATGTGAGTTGTATGGCGGGCCAGTAGGGGGAGCTTCTGCGTTGAGCCTCCCACCTCACTGCGCCCGTCCACCTTCCGGACTCCACGTGTCCCTCCAGGGGTGCCTAAGCCCTGGCAGACCCCCTTTCGAGCCCCACTACAGAGTCCGTGAGTACCCAAGTCGGGGGCCAAAAAGGATAGTCTCCCTTAGTCTGCAGACCCAAGGGGCCTCCTAGGCATAATTAAACCCACCCCTCAATAAGTCTCCTACACCAGTCACAAAGGAGAACTTTATTGGTTACAAAGGGTAGGGTTAGAATAGGGTACAGGGTAGGGCAATATCAGAGAAATCCCATAGAGCAAACTGCTGTGGCTGGGGTAGCCTTTGATCTCGCATCTGTGTTACTGCAAGCTGTATATCTAGGTGGATCTCAGGTAGCTTACTCATGAGTACCATCCAGAGGCAGTTGGAGATTCCCTCTGGAGGCACGCAGTTCCTTGATCATGAGTTTTGAGAGACAGAGCAAGTTTCAGATGGTCCAGCTCTTCTTTGTTCCTGAGTATCCCTCATGGCTGCTGCCCCCTCCTCCTGGCAGTCCTTAACTTATATAGGCCTTGTGACCTCATTTACCTGGTCCAATGGAGGCCAGCCCCTGTTGGCTGTCAGCCCACCAATTTGAAATGCATCACTAGTTGCCGGGCAGACTCTAGCCCACCAGGAAGGAAGCCCCTCACCCAGGTATGTGATGCCAGTCACGGAGGCAGAGGGAGCAGGTTTCCCCTCTCCCTCAGGAATGTATCCAGCTCAGGTTACCTAAAGAGACAGGGTAAGGATGTGTCTCTCTGCTGGGCCCATCCTAACCAAATTGTCACAGAGCAGAGACCTCGGGGAGAGACAAAGGTGGCTTTCTGCCACAAGTTGAGGCTCCAAGTATTTGGTATCTCCATAAGGGGGTTGAAGAGAAACTTAATAATGACTTGTGTGTGCAAGAGGTGTCTGGGAGTGCAGGACATCATATCTTCACTGACCATGATGATGGGATCTGGTGCTAGGTGTGGAAGCACTAGAGATTGCTCCCTATCGCTAGGGGCTGGACTTTGCCCTTCTGATTTTTTAGCATAGTGCTCTAACTACCATGCCACAAGCCAGGCACTCTCCAGGTACCTTTCCAGTGCTCCTTTGGAAGTTTAGGCACTACCCTTGGGTTTAATAATCATTGGATAAAACACAGTGCATTATTTTCTTTGGCATTGGGAGCAGGGGGCCATGCCAGAACCCAAGGCCTGCTCGTCTCCAGGCTAGGAGCCACCTCACTAAATCACACACCCTCTATCTCACTTGTTTCTCTCCCCTCATAGCTCCCTCTTGGCACTGTGGGGTGAGGAGGGAATCGTTTTTAAAGTTTCTCAATTTACTGCTTACTAGTAGGGAGGACTTGGTTCAGACTTTGAAGGTGGAAGACAACTTGGTTGACAGGGGTGATTAGACAGGCAATACAGATAGAGACAATATGCCTTAAGCTGGGAGTTAGACTTCAAAGGTCTCTTCTAGCCCTATTTTTCTATGTTTTTATGGAGTCAAAGTTAGATTGCCTTCAGGGAAATGTGCTGTAGACTATGGGGTTTTATTTCAATATTTCTGTGTTAACTGTGTTCATGTTGTGATAATGTTGCATGCCTCAGTTTCCCTGTAAAGCTGGTACCTGGGGAAAGGAGAATTAATAGAGTTTCTGCTCGGTCCCTGCTGTTAAGAGAGCATGGGATTTGACAAGACGGACCTCCAGCATCAACACAGACTTGAATAGCTTCATGGGACCCACGCAGCTCCAGGGAAGCTGGCGGGATCAGCGTGACAGTGGACAATACAGGGTGAACAAGCAGAGTGCTGGGGTCTGTCTGAGAAGAGAGACCATCTGAGCAGCTTTGGGGCTCATGGCTGGGTGGACCGGAGAAAGAACAGCTGAGATGACTTGGAAGTGCACAGGGCTGGGTGAGATACTTAGCCCTTTGGATGGGACAGAGGACCTCTGGCCTTTGCCCCAGTAAATGCTTCATTGAAGAGGAGCTGCCTTTTTTTTCCTGTGGAGAACTTCAGGGTGCTCAGAGGTCGGGGGGTCCTGAGCTAACATGTCCTGTGACAAAATGGTAACCCTATAGACACTATGTTAGGGCCAGCAGGGGAGAGAGAAGTGAGAGGGAATATGCTAGGTACATAAATGTCGGTGAGTGGAGGGAAGCACTGAGAAGTCAGAGGCAGGTGGGACATAGGAGGCAGACGGATGACATGAGGTGGAACAGATTAAGAGGAGCTACAGATGTGAGAAGCCCTTGGAGTTATAGATTAATTGGATCAGCAGAGACCTGGAGGGTCATCTAGCCCAACCCCGGCACCGATGCAGGATGCAATGCTCCTAACCCCTCCTAGACAGATGCCTCTTCTTGGACTCTTCCAAGAAAGGCGATTCCTCCCCCTCTCGGGGCAGCTGCATCTATTGTGCTGCTGCTTTGACAGTCAGAAATGGTTCCCTTCTTGTTAGGAAGGTTATTGGAGCTGTAGGGAGTGTTGGGACAGGAGGTTGTTGAGGGGGACGGCATCGGGATGTACCAAGGATGTAGCTTCCAGCACTTCCACGATGCTGGCAGTGAAGGGGCCATCATGGACACACAATGCATATTTATCGAGTTACAGTGTTTACCGCATGTACAGCACAATGTGTGAGAACCTGCTCAGAAGCAGGCCCCAACAATCCCCAGACCTTCTTAGTCTGTTGCCCATCTTTAAAACTGCAGCAAAGTCTTTGAGGTGTGGGTATTTTTCTGCAGTGGGTGCCTAGCACATAGTCAATAATGGCATAACGCCGGGTGCAGGAGCTGTGAGCCGGCCAGAGCCTTTGGCACATAGCGTAGTTGTTCCAGTTCAAGGCAGAAAGGGCATGGGAGCGGGTTGCCTTGTGGGTTGCCTGCAGGTGGGTTTTGCTTCTTCCCAAATACAACCCAGTCTTTAAGCTGCCAACAGCTGTTCTCCTCCAAGCTTGCTTCCACCTTTCTTGCTTATGCTTCTGGCAGCTTTTTAATGCTCTTAATGGGACACTCCCTGCCTAGCCAACTGCCCCGCAGCTGGGCTGTCCCAATAGGGCTGACTGTTCCTCTTAAAGGGACAAGCTGTCCCATTACAGGGAACTCCTATACACTGGGCAGCACAGTAATTGATGGAGAATATTAAGGGCCACCCACCTTGTTCCTTTCTCCCACAGACAGCTTCATTTCCCTGTCTGAACCCTTCATGAACATATCTATCTGTGGCTCCTCCAACTGTAGCATCTCCTTACTTGGGAGGAATGCAATAACATATTCCATGCATGCTCCCTAGACATTTCTCTTATCGTTAGAAACATGGGATAGAAACTCAGTCCTTAATATTTTTTAACCGTCTTCTTGCCATAGCTGAAAAGGCTGTACACCTTGTCACGGATTTCCTTGGTTTTCACCCCATACACCAGTGGGTTCACCATGGGGGGTACCACGAGATAGAGGCTGGCCAGGAGGATATGAATGTAAGGTGGGACATTTCGGCCAATCCGGTGAGTCAGGAAAGTGAAGAGGGCAGGTGTGTATGTGACCAGGATGGTGCAAGCATGGGCTACACAAGTGCCCAAAGCCTTGGCACGGGCCTCACTTGAGGAAAGTCTGAAGACAGCTTGGAGAATGACTACGTAGGAAGTGGCGATGAGTATCACATCCAGCACTACCACAAATAGTGCCACACAGATGCCATAGATCTGGTTGATAGTGATGTCTGCACAAGCCAACTTCACCACAGCCATGTGCTCGCAGTAAGTGTGTGCAATGATTTTCCGGGAGCAGTAGGGTAGCCTCTTGATGAGGGCAGGGCAGGGAATCACCAGGATCACTCCCCGGGCTGCTGCAGCCAGTCCCATCTTAACAATAGCCGCGTTGTTCAAGATAGTTGCATACTGGAGTGGGTAGCAGATGGCCACATAGCGGTCAAAGGCCATAGCCAACAGGATGGCAGACTCAATGATGCAGAAAGCATGGATGAAATACATCTGCACCAGGCAGGCAGTGAAGCCGATTCCTTGGGAGTCCTGCCAGAAGATGCTGAGCATTTTGGGTATGGCAGACGTGGTAATGACCAGGTCATTCATGGCCAGCATGGAAAGGAAAAGGTACATGGGTTTGTGAAGGCTCGTCTCTGTCTTAATGATGAAGAGAATGGTGCAGTTCCCCACCAGCGTGATGATGTACATGAGGCAGAACGGGATGGCGATCCAGCGGTGAAAGGCTTCCAGCCCGGGGATGCCAATAAGGATGAAGGAGACCTGGCCGAGGTCTGTGTCATTGTAAGTCATCCAGGGGCTTGGCTGAGCACGTGTTTCAGTTCCCTGCATCTGGGCACACGGACCTGCACACAACACACAAGGGGAAGGTGAAACTGCTGCCTGTCTTGAGAAACAGCTCAGCAATGAGATGGGTCAGGGTGGGGAACACCCTCTAAAGGAGCCCCACTGCCCAAGATATTCAAGAGCAGGCTGGACAAAGCCCCAGAGAAACAACCTTGCACCAGCTGCTTAGGAACGGACCAGATAAACCCTTATTAGACTTTTCCATTTCAAACCTCCATGCTTCCATGGGAACGTATTAAAGAAGGCTTGGACACGCTCAGTTCAGTCCCCTCAGTCACACACTGATGGTTCAAGGATCTCTTGCCCCTCAGACAATACAAGGAGTTTTAATTTTCTTTTTTACTTTTCACTTGTGAGAGAGCAAAAATGTCCCTGTCTGCTCTTAAACATGTTTTATTTGGATGATAAGGTCCCATCATCGAAACCAATACACTGTTCGTTCATAGAACAGATCCTTCTGGAGCAATAATCGTACACTCATAGGGTTGGCAGGGACCTGAAGGGTCATCTAGACCAGCCCCTCTACAGATGCAGCATGTGCTGTTCCTAAACCATCCCAGAAAAATGTTCATCCAAACAGGTGTCCCGCAGCCCGTGGAGATGCCAGTCATAGTCACGAAGAATGTTTCCTATGATTATACCCCTCTTTCCAGAAGATTTCAGTGGTTCAATAGCAGTTATACCCATGCTCCCATGTGAGACAGGCCAGTACGAGTATTTTTTATTGTGCAGGTGGAAAATCTGGGGAATAGAAATACAGCTCTTCTGAGCTGAACACCAGCACCTTACCCACAAGACCATCCAATTTAGTCATTTCTCTGTGTTGGCTGAATATTGTTTGTCACAGAAGGCAAAGATGGCATAAGAATAAAGCAAGACAAAAAAAAAAATCACCAAGGTGACTGAACTCCTCAATGGTCATTCCTTTATCCTTTCTCAGGGAATGGCCACATGCATTTTCCTTCAGGGAAGGGCACATCGCAGCATACTGTTACTATGCCTACCTCATAGTATATACAAGTGAAATATATACAAGTGAAATACAGCCTTGGCCTTGCAGTGATCGGACAGCAAGGAATCCAGGCTGTTCTGCTTTGCCTCCTGCATATCAAGCAACAGCATAGATTTTGGGTGACGTGACTCTGAAAGTATCATGACGCCCCTTTAAAAATCCATGGGGCATCCACACCTGAATACTTTGCCCAGGTCTGGTCCCCACACCTCAGAAAGTAGACAGAAGAACGAAAGAAAGTGCAGAGAAGGGCAATATGGATAATTACCAGAAAGTGCAGAGAAGGGCAATATGGATAATTATTGGTACAGAGGGGCTTCCATATGAAGAGAGGGATTTATTTTTGACTTTCTCTCAATACAAGAATGAGGGGTCACATGAAACTAGTAGTAGTAAGTGTAAAACGAACACACGGCAGGGCTTTTTCACACAGCGTAGCATTAAAGGTGCCACCAGATGCGGTGGAAGCTGAGAGTTTAGCCACCTTCACCTTCATGATTGGACACCTGCTTGGAGGAAAGGGACCAGCACGCAATGCGTGACACCCCCATGTCACCGCAGCCTCTCATCTTTTGGTGCTGATGCTACCTAGATCCAATTGACCCCAAACTGTGCTGAAATCATCCCTGTGACATCAGGAAGCTGCAGCCCTGGTGGCAAATATTATAACCAGAAGGAGAAAGTTTGAAATGCAGCCCTATGAAGGCAATAGCATGGGACTGGGAGGCAGAAAAGACTGGTTTGGGAGTTCCTCCTTTGGATCATATTCTCAGGGCCCGTCAGTGGCCTCACCAAGGTCGGAGAGAGCAATAAAGGAAGGATGTTCTAGGCTTGGAGAAACATTGCAGCCCACCTCCCACCCCAATCGAACACGAGCATCCTCAGAAGCTATTTCGTAGTTGACTGTCTCTTAAACACGGGAGCAATACCTGTGTCACCTCAAGCTGGGGACAGGGCCACTGCTAGGGACTCTCCCAAATCACACGTGTGGATTCCACCTATAAAGAGCCAGCTAATATGGGAAAGATTGATACCCAGCCTCTTAAAACACGCTTTTGGTGACCCAGCTCCTCCCTGATGAAAACATAACACCCTTACCCTCCATTCCTGTAGTGTGAACTCCAGCTCATTAACACGAGCCCCCAGAATCAAGGTACTTACTGGAGTCGTGTCCTCGAGACGTGAAGCTGATCTCCAAAACACAAGAACGGCATGTCCCAGGCTTAGGCTGCAATATTTATAAGGTGGAAAATTCCCCTGGTGCCAGAGTGGCATCCACTGAGGATTTTCAAATGCTTAGTTGCCATCTGCTTTTGTATTTATTTAACACATGCTATACAGCCAGGGCGAGAAGCAGTGTCTCAGAGGGCTTGAGGATGGTTATATACAGCTTTTCATCTCTAAGGCACTGGTTACAATTTAATTCAGTGAGACAACAGCTTCATAATAATATTCACAACCATGATAGGATAATAGAAAAGTAGAGTGCCTCAGAAGGTCATGTAGTCCAGCCACCAGCTCAAGATAGCACCATCACCGACTATGCCATCCACGCCAGGTGTTTGTCTAACCTGCTCTTAAAAACTGCCAATATTTTATAAACTCTTTGGGTTGCCTGTTCTAGTATTTCCCTCATAGTGAGAAAGCTTTTCTTAATGTCCATGCCAACATTAATGGTTTGGACAATGGGCTTTAGCGCACACTCAGACTTTCAGATGACACCAAGTTGGGTGGAGTTACAGACACTGTACATTTATACCTTGACTTTAGCAAGGAATTTGATATGGTCTCCCACAGAATTCTTGCAAACAAACTGAGGAAATACGGGTTGGATGAATGTACTCAAAGGTGGATAGAAAGCTGGCTGAATCATCAGACTCAATGAGTAGTGATCAATAGCTCGAGGTCTAGTTGGCAGCCGGTATCAAGTGTAATGCCCCAGGGGTCAGTCCCGCGGCCAGTTTTCTTCAATATCTTTATCACTGACCTGGAAGATGGGATGGGTGCACCCTCAGCAAGTTTGCAGATGACACCAAGCTGGGGGGGAGTAGTAGATATGCTGGAGGGTAAGGCTAGGATTCAGAGAGACCTTGACAAATTGGAGGATTGGGCCAAAAGAAATCTCATGAGGAAAGTGCAAAGTCCTACACTTAGGACAGAACAATCCTATACACCGGTACAGGCTGGGGCTGACTGGCTAAGCAGCAGCTCTGCAGAAAAGGACCTGGGTGTGACAGTGGGCAATAGATGAACAGGAGCCCGCAAAGGTAAGGCTAGGATTCAGAGAGACCTTGACAAATTGGAGGATTGGGCCAAAAGAAATCTCATGAGGAAAGTGCAAAGTCCTACACTTAGGACAGAACAATCCTATACACCGGTACAGGCTGGGGCTGACTGGCTAAGCAGCAGCTCTGCAGAAAAGGACCTGGGTGTGACAGTGGACAATAGCTGAACAGGAGCCAGCAATGTGCCCTTGGTGCCAAGAAGGCTAGCGGCATCCTGGGCTGCATTGGTAGGAGCGTTGCTGGCAGCTTGAGGGAAGTGATGATTCCCCTGTATTCGGCCCTAGTGGTTAGTAGAGGTTTTTAAGACCTGGCTCAACAAAGCCCTTGCTGGAATAATCTAGCTGGGGATGGTCCTGCTTTGAACAGGGTTGGACTAGATGTGACCTCCTGAGGTCCCTTCAAACCCTAATTTTCTTTGATTCTAGGGCTGGGATCCAGAATGACCTGCATAGACTGGAGAAACGGTCTGCAGTGAACCAGATGAGATTCAAAAAGGACAAGTGCAAACTCTTGCACTAGGGATGGAATACTTGCATGCACAAATCCGGACCAGGGCATGACTGGCTAATCTGAAAGACTGCAGAGAAGGAGCTGAGTGCTACAGTGGAGCGTAAGATGACCATGAGCCAACAGTGTGCTCTTGGTACAAAACGGGCCAACAGCATCCCTGGATAGATTAATCGATTGTTAGGGACTGGAAGGGACCTGGCAGATCATTGGGTCCAGCCCCACTCCCCAACTTAGTAGAGGTTTTTAAGACCTGGCTCAACAAAGCCCTTGCTGGAATAATCTAGCTGGGGATGGTCCTGCTTTGAACAGGGTTGGACTAGATGTGACCTCCTGAGGTCCCTTCAAACCCTAATTTTCTTTGATTCTAGGGCTGGGATCCAGAATGACCTGGATAGACTGGAGAAACGGTCTGCAGTGAACCAGATGAGATTCAAAAAGGACAAGTGCAAACTCTTGCACTAGGGATGGAATACTTGCATGCACAAATCCGGACCAGGGCATGACTGGCTAATCTGAAAGACTGCAGAGAAGGAGCTGAGTGCTACAGTGGAGCGTAAGATGACCATGAGCCAACAGTGTGCTCTTGGTACAAAACGGGCCAACAGCATCCCTGGATAGATTAATCGATTGTTAGGGACTGGAAGGGACCTTGCAGATCATTGGGTCCAGCCCCCCTCCCCAACCACCCAACTCTAGGCAGGAAGACAACTGGGGTCACATGACCCCAGTGAGAAGACTGTCCAGTCTCCTCTTGAAAACCACCGGGGTAGGTGACTGCACCATGTCTGGAGGGAGTTTATTCCACAGTCTGGACACCCTGCCTGTGAAGGAGTTTTTCCTGGTATTAAGCCTGAAGTGGCCTTCCAGGAGTTTGTACCCATTGGTCCTGGTCTTCTCCAGGGGTGCCCTAGTGAACAGTTGCTCACGGAGGTCCTGATGCATTCCTCGGACATAGTGGTAAGCCACAATCAAGTCCGCTTTCAACCTTCTCTTCTTTAGGGTAAAGAGGCCCAGGTCCCTCAGCTTTTCCTGGCATGGCTTGCCTTGCAAGTCCCTGATCATACGGGTGGTTCTTCTCTGGTCCCTCTCAGGTTTTTCCACATCCTTATTGAAGTGCAGCACCCAGAACTGGACACAGTACTCCAACTGCGGTCTCACCAATGCCGAGTACAGCAGGAGTACCACTTACTTAGTTTTACACGAGATGCATCGGTTGATGCATGCCAGCGTGTTGTTTGCCCCGCTGGACACCACATCGCCCTGACGGCTCATGTTCATATGATGGTCAGTCATTACCTCTAGGTCCCTTTTGGCCATGGTGCAAGTCAAGCTGTCACCCCCCGAGCCTGTATGTATGTTGAGGGTTGTTTGCCCCCAGATGGAGTACCTTACACTTGGAAGTGTTAAACTTCATCTGGTCCCAGTCTGCCCAACTCTCAAGCCTGTCCAGGTCTGCCTGTATCTGCAACCTATCTTCTGGTGTGGCCACACTGCCCCATAACTTCGTGTCATCTGCAAACTTGCTCAGCGAGCTTTTCACTCCTCCATCCAAATCATTGATAAAGATGTTGAAAAGCAGCAGTCCAAGCACGAACCCCTGAGGGACACCACTGGCTACTTCACACCAGAACTACACAGATCCGTTCATGAGTGCTTCCGATCCTCAGGGATTTCCCCTGTGTGCCACGAATTCTGAAAGAGCTTTGCCAGGGGTCCCACGATGACCTCCGCCAGGTCCTTCAGCACTCTCGGATGGAGTCCATCCAGTCCTGCTGACTTATAAATGTCTAGCTTTTCTAGTTGGTATTGGACCCACTCAGCATCCACAGTGGGGAGGCTGCCATTCCCAGTTTTCCCCCTATGAACCTTATCCCACTTGTCTTTCCCCTTGGTCCAGTGAAATACCGAAGCAAAGTAGTCATTCAGGAGTTCAGTTTTGTCCTAAATGTCAGTTATCAGATGTCCTGAGGTGTTAAGCAGGGGTCCCACACTTCCATTTGTATGATCTCTTTGGGAGAGATCAATAGACTGCATAGGTGAATACACCCAAATCATAGGATCATAGAAAATGAGGGTTGGAAGGGACCTCAGGAAGTCATGTAGTCCAACCCTCCACTCAAAGCAGGACCGTCCCCATCTAGATCATCCCAGACATGGCTTTTTCAAGCTGGGCCTTAAAAATCTCCAAGGATAGAGATTCCCTAACCTCTCTGGGTAACCTGTTCCAGTACTTTACTAACATGTTACGTGTTGGAACAAATGTGACCATAAGACTCTATCACAAAATAGTAACCCTATAGATGCTGTGGAGAAATCACCACCCAGTCTGCCTCACTGCCAGCCCAACCTCCCCCCACCCCCACCCCGGGGTTCTCTGCCTACGTGACTAGCTGGGCTGTAAAAATTCCAATGGGAACGGGAACCTGATCCTCTATTGTCTCAGTTTCCTGCCACTGCAGGTCATGTGACTAGTCATCTCACCTGGTCAGGCTGATGTCATTTGGAAGCACTGGTCAGCAGCCAATGGGGTGCTTCCAAATGACATCATCACATAGTGATGAGGTCACGGCAGGTGTAAGGGGGTCCGTTGATGAGAAAGGGGGCAGACATGTTTTGGGACACAGCAGACCAGCCATATAGCCTCCAGAGAAAGAGCTTGGTCAGACTCTGGATGTAAATGTGAATAACTTACCTGAATTTTAGCAGTAATTTAGGATGAAGTGGCCGAGAAGCATATCAAAAGGTTACCAAGCTGCTTCTGTTTGCTCAAGGTTTTTCTTTTGATATTTCTCTGACTTGTACCCCTCCCTATGCCTACCCTCTCTGTAACAGGTTGCCCTCCCCAGTGGCATTTTTTTTTTTGCCTCTGAGGGGCACCCCTGAAGCCCCTTAATGTTTCATTTCTCTCGTTCGTCTCGTTTCCCGCCTTTACTCGTCTGCCACGTCTTGATGTAAATAATATTTAGATGTTCTTACAAGCAGGAGACTGCCTATTGTATTTCTATGTTGTGGTTCTTGGCCACCACGGGCCTTGTCCCCCATCTGTCTGTAGCTAGGCCTACCAGTCTAAACCCACCATATAGGGTTTGACTCCGAGGCTCTAGCTCCTTAATTCTCTCGGGGCCTGTGGCCTCCTTTGGTTTTCAATCTGGAGCCTAGGCTTTCTAGCCCAGAGGCCTGTCCACTTGGCATGGAGCCAGCAGGCTGCAAGTTCCAGTTTGGGCCGTGGCCCAAAGTTCACACTCCCCACAGGTGCCCTTTCCTTTAGCTTGGGCTACTAGCCGAGATCCCCGCCTGGGACCTGGCTTAAAAGTCCTGCAACCCGCTCTGAGCTACAGGCCCTATACAGCTGCACACTGTAGTGCACTAAGCCTTTTGGCCTTTTATGACTGTGCCCAAGGTGCTAATGAGGCCTCCTCCTCCTCCCCTACAGCCTCTACCACAAACCACCAGTCTATCAATCAACAAACATATATATAACAACCTCCTTCCCCTTTGGCTGCTGTCTCTAACTGCTGCCAAGCCCAGGGTTTTTATAGTTCTGGCCTGCCCCCTTCCGGTCACCTGACTAGCCGGCCAGGCTCAGCTTTTAACCCCTAGGCTGCCAGCAGGCTGTGCCCAGAAAGTTCTGGTCTTAAAGGGACCAGCCTGCTTTCTGGTAACAGGGCTAGGGTTCCCTGTTACACTCTCCAATCAATAACGCTATCCATTATAGCAAGCCTTGCTGTATGTACATGCTTGAGAGGGATGAGGCAAACCTTTGTAACTCCCTTTTGATTGGCTGGCTAAAGGAGGCTATTTGTGAATGCTTCAGGCTAAGAGAAGCACCCCAAAGTACCACAGTGGGTTAAGTAACCCCAAGATCTATAGGGTCTGTTTATCCCAGGTGGCACAGAGCCCTAACAAAGACCAGACCCCGGGTAGGCAGGTAGGATGTAGGAGGTAGACTGATGACATGGGGTGAAACAGAGTAAGAGGAGCTACAGATGTGAGAAGCCCTTGGAATTATAGATTCACTGGATCTATTCTCTGCTTTGGGCCTGATTTTTTGCTCCCTAAAACAATCTCCATCTTGTTAATCTGTCCTTTCTACTTATGGGAAGCCTATGCAGCACAGATTTGGGGCACCGGCTTCAGTATGGATGGAGAGAGAAGGGTACCCAGTACTTCACCAGCACAACCCCCAGCAGAACTGGAAGGGGCTTTGGAAGTTTTGAACCCAAGAATGGAGCTGCACTTTCCTGTGTGGTTTCTGAGATGTGGCTGGAGACATCGCTGCTTTTATTATTGAGGCATCAGCACATGGTCTTCTCTTAGCAGAGGGGATGGCAGAACCCAGTGTGAGAATCAGCCTCTAGTCCAGGTCTACTTGGGACTTGTACTGAGGAGCTGGACCCCAGAACACTACAGCCTCATTCATAATTTGGGCTGTTAGGATTGATTAGAGTTATTTAGCAAGGGGTTACTCGATGCAGTTTACCTCTTGGCAGCTACAGTGGATACGGTCATTGGCGACATGTAGGGGGTGCACGTGCACCCCCTGAGATTGTCCGTGCCCCCCTACCTCAGGAGGCACAAGGCGTTCATGGGTACTGTTATTGGATGTGATAGGTTGACATGACATGTACATGTCCAAGTGCAACAGGGAGCCAGAGGCTCTTGTTACTTTAAGGGAAGAGTGCAGCAGGCCAAGGAAACAAGTCCTTAGGCACCCAACCTACCCAAGAGGGCTGGAAGGAAAGAGCTAAGGGGGTAGTATGGCTTGTCGTGTGACATTGACCCAGACGGGGGGTGGACTGTAATTTGAAAGCAGCTTGTTTATTATACTTGTGTGGTGTTTAATTGGAGGACCAGGATGTGACTACGGGGGACGTATAGAAGCCATGAGGGTACCTGGGGGACGGGACATCAGCCTTGCTGGGCCCAGGGCTGGAAGGACTAGGGGGGCTGAAGCCAAAACAAGCTTCATCTATAAAGGCTAAAGCCTGGTGGAAGGGGCTACAACCCAAGGTGGCTTCCAAAAAGTGCTCTGCTCAGCTAGGAAACATTATCTCTACATTGATTTGAAAATAGCTGCTCCATCTACCTCTTTCAGTTTGGGAGCATTTCCTTTTTTATATTTAGCCTTCTTGTTTAGAGTGGTCGAACCTCCATAGATTAATTACCCACCTACTTCCCAATCATTAGCATGGACAGCCATCAGCTGTGATGGAATGGCTGTGGTTTTATTTTGCAGGTAGAACATTGTTTTGCTTCCAAATTGTCTAATTTAGACATGTCAAAAATCCTCTTCATCTGTGCAGTCTCATGTCTTGTCAGCCTGAAGCATTTATCAGAAATGATACAACTATGAGTGCATTTTGGCCACTTGTACTCAGCTTAATTAGTTCTCCTAGGCTGTACTCAGCCAAGGGCATACCTCTAAGACCTTTGAGTCTTGGTATTACTGTGCTCTGTGTTGCTGCCCTATAGACACTTCAGGATGCTGGGCAGCTGGTTAATTGCTGATGGATGTTCCAGGCTCTCAAGTCAGCCACATCAGCTCTTTGTTTGAGCTCTGGCCCTCTTCCCTAGTCTGTGATATCATCTGACTGGCCTGGTCCATTCCCCCTTCTTCCACAATGTAAGCAGAGCCTGGAAAAATGTGGATTTGGGGTTCCTTTTTTTAAGAAAAAATTGGGGATTTTTTTAAAATACCTGTTAATGAGTATATATTAAGGGTCATGCTGTCCTTGAGAAGAGTTGCCACTTCTCTTCTTGCCATAGAAAGCAAGGATCCCTGGCAAGGATATGATCTGCTTTTGCCTTCTTGCAAGTCAGGAGGTGGGATACACAACTGGATGCAGGTCCTTGACATGATCTTTGTCCACTGAAGACTAGCAGTAATGACCCTGGCCTCAGAGATCTCAAATCAGTTTCTTGCTGTAGTTGAACATGCTGAGCACCTTGTCTCGTATCTCCCTGGTCTTCACCCCGTACACCAGGGGGTTTACCATGGGTGGCACCAAGAGGTAGAGACTTCCCAGGAGGATGTGGATGTATGGGGGCACATTTCGGCCAATCCGGTGTGTGAGGAAGGTGAAGAGGGCAGGTGTGTATGTGACCAGGATGGTGCAAGCATGGGCTGCACAAGTACTCAGTGCCTTGGCACAGGCTTCTTTGGATGGGACCCTGAAAACAGCCCTGAGGATCATGGTGTAGGAGGCAGCAATGAGCACCATGTCAAGCACTATTACAAAAAGTGCAGCACAGATGCCATAGATACGGTTGATAATGGTGTCTCCACAGGACAGCTTCACCATAGCCATGTGCTCACAGTAGGTGTGCTGGATGACTTTCTGGGAGCAGTAGGGAAGTCTCTTTATAAGAAAGGGGCAGGGCATCACCAAGATCATACCTCTGAATAGTCCAGCTAGCCCCATCTTGGCCACGGCCGAGTTGCTCAGAATAGTGGCATACCGGAGCGGGTCACAGATGGCCACGTAGCGGTCAAAGGCCATGGCCAACAGGATCGATGACTCCACCATGGAGAAGGTGTGGATGAAAAACATCTGTACTAAGCAGTCATTAAAGGAGATCTCTCGGGAATTCAGCCAAAAGATACTTAGCATTTTGGGCACGGTAGAAGTTGTAAGGATGAGGTCATTTATGGCCAGCATGGAGAGGAAAAGGTACATGGGTTTGTGGAGGCTTGTTTCTGTCTTAATGATGAAAAGAAGAGTGCAGTTCCCCACCAGGGTCAGGATGTACATGGAGCAGAGCGGGACGGCGATCCAGCGGTGAAAGGCTTCCAACCCAGGGATGCCAATAAGGATGAAGGAGACCTGGCCGAGGTCTGTGTCATTGGAGCTCATCCGCAGGTGTTGCAGTGGACGTTGTCCAGTTCCCTTCATCGGGGCACGCCGACCTGCACACAACACACAGCAGCGAAGGGAAGACGGTGCTGAGCATCGTAAGAAACAGCCCAACAGTGGATGGATCAGGCTGGGGATTCACCTCTCAAGGAAACCCCTATTGCTTGGGATATTTAAAAACTGCTTGTAGAAATCCCTGGAGGAGTGGTTTTCAACCTCCTTAGACTGCAGGCACCTCTCAGAAAATGCCAGCTGCTTTCCCTGCTTTTTTTTTTACTACTTAAAAAATATCAGTGCAATTATTCTTTTGCAAAGAACTAAAAATGGAGGACGAGCTCTGGCCACATTGGGTCTGAATGGTTTTGACACCATGGATTTCTATTTGACACATCCCAGATGATCTTGTGTGTCGTATGTAGCTCTTTGCATGCACAACACTGCAATACTAGCTTGGCCCCTGCAGTGGCTTTACAAGGGTCCCAGGGTGCAGCAGGACCCCGGCTGAGAGTCACCCTAAACAGAGGATCCATCCTAAACTGGTTCTTGGCAGTGAACAAGATAAGCCCTCAAACATGCTGAACCACAGAAGGGATGCAGCCGGAGCAATAACACCTTTGGAAAAGTATCTTCTGCCAGTGATCTTTAACCCCATTTGGACAGCTCCAAAAGCTGCTAAGAAGCCCGGTAGTGCAAGGGCGTAAGAACACGGCCACTTGACCCAGCCCCTTCCTGCCCCAACACACGTGCCAGCACGTCTCATGCGTACAGGATCAGCTCCACACCCCGTGCAGACACTCCTAGAAGCCAAGTACTTACTGGAGTCTGCTCCAAGGAGAAATGCATCTGCCATCCAGAGTGCAGGGAGTGCCAGTCCCCGGCTCAGGCAGCAGTACTTGTAGTGTGAATAACTCCCCTAGGCCCAGCAAAGTGACCACAGGGGATCCATGGCTGCAAAACAGTCCTCGTTCCCCCTGGGGCTGCCATTTGCTTGGTTTATTTTTCTGCACACAGCTCAGCTTGGGAAGGAGGCATCTCAGGGGGAGAGTGTAGGGGTTCAGGAAGGAGGATGGGGGGACTGAGAAGGTAGACCCCAAAATCTCTCTGGCTACCAGTAATAGCACGATACAGATTCTTTCCTACAATGGCTGGGGAGGCTCAGGATGGGTAGGGAGGTGGCACGTGGACTGGCAATAGGTCTTAAATTTGCTGAGCTCTCCAATTTTCAGTCCAGTTTACATGCTGTTCCAAGTCCCAGAGACACTTATTATAGAAAATGAGGGTAGGAAGGGACCTCAACAGGTCACATCTAGTCCAACCCTCCACTGAAAGCAGGACCGGTCCCAAATACATCATCCCAGGTGAGGCTTTGTCTAGCCAGGTCTTCAAAACTCCCAAGGATGGAGCCTCCACCACGTCTCTAGGTAACCCGTGCCAGTGCTTCGCCCTCCTAGTGAAGAAGTTTTCCCTAATATCCAACCTCAACTTCCCTTGCTGCAACTTGAGCCCATTGCTCCTTGTCCTGTCGTCTGCCACCACTTCTCCCAGTCCCACTGCTGCAGGTTTGTGAGTACAACTGAAGCAGAAACCAAACAGCCTGTGTTCACTGTCAGGGGGTGGTCACTCGGATCAGTGCTAGCTAGGTACACAACTCCAAACCTCTCCTGCGAGCATACAAAGGGAGGCCTCGCCAGTGCTAACCAGAGCAGAAGAATCACTCCCCTTGATTTGTAGGTGATGTTGTTGTCGAACAGGGATGCTGTTGGCTTTTCTTTTCTTTGCAACAAGACTCATCTTCAGCTTATGGCCCGCTGTAACCCCCAGGCCCTCGCAGTCCCGCAGCCCAGCCAGTCATTCCCCAGTCTGTGTTTGTGCACGCAGTTTTTCTATCCTAAGTGCAAGACGTTGCACTTGTCTTTGTTGAATCTCACCTGGTTGATTGTGGACCGTTTCTCCAATCCCCACAGTTCATTCTGGATCCCCACCCTACCCTCCTGAGTCTTTGCAACTGTACCCAACCTAGTGTCATCCACAAATTTGCTAAGTGTGCACTCAGTCCCATAGTCCAAGTCATTAATGAAGATATTGAACAACACCAGACCCAGAGAGACCCACTTGATACTCCTCTCAAATAAATCTGAGCCAATGATGACCATTCATTGTTCCAATCAGTTGTGTATGCCCCTTGCAGTACTTTCATCTAGTCTGTATTTCCTTATCCTGTTAATAGTAAATAAAGCAGCTTAATACTCGGTCCAGTGTCTGTTAAAATGCTGAGAACATGAATCATCAAACAGCCTTTAGACACTAGCTAGCCCTTGCTGTTGCCCTGGGCCATTTTTCTAATGTAATATCAGGTTTTCTTTTCAAACCACATCAATCTTTCACCTTTTACTCTACCTGCAAGCCAGTTTCTAAAAGCAAATTTCTAAATATTTTCTAGCCATCAATAGTGAAAAGCGGTTCCCTGTTCACCTTTTCCAAGCCATTAATGATTTTCTAGACTTCTGTCACATCTTTCCATAGCCATCTCCTGCCCACCCAGCCCTCAGCTAAAGAATCCCCAGCCTTCTCCATCTCTTCTCATGTGCAAGCCTTTCCACCCCTTGGTCACACCCTTGACCATCTGCATTGCCTTTCTCTGTCTCTGTAACTTCTCTAGTTTGGTATATCCTTTTTTAAAACTGGGGTGGTGCAATATTCAAGCTGAATAGATAGACAGACAGATAGTTTGCTTGTGGAAAATCCTATCATAATGCATTAGCTGTTTCTGCCCCTGCACACATGCTTAGAGACACCCTCAAGCCATCCCATCGGGTCGGTTAAATATGGTTCCTTATTGCAAACCCTTCTTTGCTCCTCCCCAGCAGATCATATTTATTCATGGGATTACTAATTCAGTTTTCTTTATTGATTCAATAGATTTGCTTGGAACAGCAGTTAGACGCAACAGTTAGTAATTCCTTGGACCACCTTTGGGCCCATTTAAAAAGTTGGTCATAGGACACAGGCATGGGCATCTGTCTCATGGGACAATACTTTTGCAAGAAAAAAGGCATCAGTTCACGGAACATCTGCAAGCCCAATTCTTGAACGGCAGGTCCTTCCACACTTATCACCTGTGAAGTTTGTATCTAACAGTCTAAGCACGGGATGAAGGCTTTTGAGAAAAGAAGGGCCCGACATGCAGTGAAAAGAGGAAGAATCCCGTGTCACATTGAAGACAGTTAGATTTAAAAAAACCCCAAAACTGGTGTTATAATTGCCATCCACCAGTCCTCTGGCACCAAGGCTGGACCAGCCCCCAGTAGCCGAGCACAGTGGGCTAACAGTACTGTCATTTCATATTTGAATGCCTTCAGCACCTTTGGGTGGACACCGTCTGGTCCTGTGACTTGTTGCTAGTCAGCACAATTAAATGGTTCTTAGCTCTTATCCACTGACACCTCAACATGAGTTAGTTCCTCAGCTTTATCTCCTAAAAAGGATGGATCTGGAGTGAGAATCATTAAGCAATGTTAGTAGTAAGACAAAAGCAAAGACTTTATTTTAACTTATAGGCTCAGCATTGCTATGCTCACTAACACCACGACACAGGGGACAAAAACCCAGACCTTCTAGGCTGCATCGTGTCAGCAAACTAGAACGGTGCGTGCATGCAACTGAATAGATCATAATTTAGGCATCTGGTTCAGGAAGGGCTTGTGGTCCCACTGGAGCAGGTGGAGAACCTGGTTCCAGTTGCATTTGGCCATAGACAAGGGGGTTGAGGGCAGGGGGAGGAGCAGGTACAGGTTGGCGAAGAGGACGTGAGCGTCATAGTGGTGGGTCTGAATGGTGAACAGGCCAGGCATGCAGAAGGCCAGGATGATGCAGATGTGAGCACTGCAGGAGCTGAAGGCTTTGATCCGGGCCCACTTGGTGGGGGGAGACAGCACAACACAGAGAATCAGAGCATAGGACAGAGCAATGGAGACCATGACCCAGCCACCAAGGGCAAGGATGACCAGCCCATACAGGCTGTTCACTGGGGTCAGCACATGTACATGGAGCAGAAGGGGACAGAGATCCAGATGTGCATATTCTAGCCCCGGGATGCCCAGCAGGATGCATCCAGATGGCCCGAAGCGGGTGGCATTGGCAATTTCTATTCTGGTACAGGACTGTCTCTGATTTGGAAACTTCTAGCTCCTGCCAATTAAAGACAACAGTAATGATCTGACTTAGAGGGTAAAGTGACCGTAGACCTTAGTTTTACTCTGACCACTCCAATTCTTTATTTAATGTCCAAGAAGCTCCTCTAGAAGCATGTGCTGAGTTCTTATTTTCTATTTCATCAGTCAAAGCTTTAAGTTTTGATGTGTTATTAATTCAAGACAATGATCCCAGAAAAAATATAAAGGTCAGAAACAGAAGAGCACGGGCAGGAGAACAGGGTTCGCAGAAAAAAACACTCCCTGTCTGATCAAGGGAAGTTTACAAAACCCCCTCAAAAGGTGAGCAGGGGAACAAAAACTCATTAGCGTGTTGGACACTAAGAACCAGGGACTTAAACACAGACAATGACTTCATGAGCCATTATAATCTACTTGATCCTCACTGATCTCTGCACTTCACAGGTGTTAACACCCTCCCTTAAATGTATTGCTCTTGTACTTATCGTGTTTCTCTTGGCTGCCACGTCTCTTGGCTACCTGATCATTTATCTTGTGTCCTGCTTGTATTTGTGTACCTGCCTCCGTTCAACCAGGAGTTAACGCGCCGCCTTTGCCCGGCCCCAAGATCTTGCGCACCCGAACTTTGCTGGTACGCCCCAGAGTTTACCCCGTCTGGTATCAAGGGGGACCCCAGAACTCACCTGCCACGACTTTGATGATGCTTTCAGTGGGGGGTCTTCCCTTGGGGTATCCCCCGGTGCCGGCACGCTTCATCGCGGGTACTCTCGGGGCTCCGTCCTCCCCTACACCCCGACCATACGCCACCTTAGGGTCTTCCTATCCTGGCCTCTAACCCGTCCTTGCCTTGTCCTCTCTTGCCTCGGT